TCATGACCTGAGCCGAAGGCAGTCGCTTAACCGACTGAGCCACCCAGGCGCCCCTCCCTCCATTTTCTTGATTATAAATTCTCAAGAGCAGGACTCTGTCACCCTGCATCTTCCCTAATAGGTTCCCTGGGAGAAGAGGGCCCAAGCGGCCCGTGCTCCATCCAGGGCTGTTGCTGGCTGTCTCTGCAGCCTCCACCACACTGTTGAGCAAACAGAGGCAGTCTTCTTTTTGTTTTATTCACGCTAATGAAGTGTGTATGCCAGGGCCCTGAAAAGACTGAGGAATTAATCTGCATTTTGCATTATCCACAACAAAACATTCTCATACTGTTGTATTTGGGATTTCTGTTTATTTTGCTTCTTGATTTTATTTTTGTTGCCTACTGCTAGCAATTTCACACACTGGTGGAGACGAGTTTCATTTCATTAAACCTGTCTTAAGCTCATTATTCAGGCAGAGAATCACGTGGGTCTGGGAGACTAGTTTCCTGTTGCCAGAGGTGCTCATGAACATACTGACTCCTAATCTACCTGGGTAGTGGGCTGAGGGCTCAGACCCAATCAGGAGGCCCCTGCTTCATAGTGGAGGGCTGGATCCTGTAGTGTTCAATATGAATCAGACATCTCTTAAGATTAAAGGTGTTGATTTTGATGATACCTCACCCGTTTTCAAATTTCGGGATGATAACTAGGAGTGAAAGAATGGAGTAAAATAGCCATGACAAAATTTCTGTCACTATGGGGTTTTTTGGGGGGTGTTTTTGTTTTGTTTTGTCTGTAAATATTGGTTCAGAGCATAGTAAAGGGAAAGCAAGGATGCACACCGATATCACTTTAACCATAACAATACTCTATGTGCCGATCGAGGCATAAACTGAACCAATAATGCAGGGAGCGTCACCACCAATCTCACTCAATGACGTAGGTTTCACCCAAATTAAATTCTGATTGTTCGAGAATTACTTACAATTATCTATCTTTGATAACCATGTACCAAAACTTGTTTTCATCCATTGCGTACTGCCCAGGTGATTTTTTAAGTATTTTTAAGTTTCAATTTACATACCTTTTATTTATTTATTTTTTTGGATAAGGAAACGTAGTAGGTAAAACAATTAAAAACATATCTTACATTTGGATGGAAAACTGTGAGGTGCAATGGGAATGAGTTCAGGGAGAAAAAAAAGGATCATCTAGACCATCTCAGTGTTAACGAAGAATTTGATCATGTGTTTTATGAATTGATTATAGTACTGAATTGCTATTTCAATAGATACCTTGAAAAGATTGATGTGATCGTGTCAACTGTATCTCAATAAAAAATGTTTTGGAAAATGTGTAACAGGTCAAGAACTTTACAAATATTCCAACGTTTCTTTAAAATTTTTTGTTGTGACCATTTTGCTTTTTAAAACGTCCTGTGTTGGGATTTGCGTCCTTGTAACTATTAGAACTAAGGATAAAAATACTTTAGATGTCAACTGAAAAACGTGTGAGGTTTTAAATCCCTTTAGATTGGACCCACGCAGAAGTAACGGGTGGGTGGGCTCCCAGCCGCTGGGGCGGGGGACGCGCGGATGGCGACATTCCCTCTAGACCCTCCCGCCCAGCCCGATACCCGACCGGCCTCCTTTCGAGAGACGATTTGCAAAAACACGACTGTTCTCTTTCATCGTGTGTCTGTCTGTTCCCTGCCAGACAGGATGCCACGACCTTCCAATACATCTAAGACTCAAACAGGCTCAAGGAAGCGATTAAGAATCCCTTATTTACAAATAAGAAGAGCCAAGCGAAGGGAAAGGCAAAGCGATGTCTTTTCCCAAGTGAAGACTTTTCGTGCCAAAGCGCTTTCTCTGACCAAAAGGACACTTTCCAAATTAAATGTCATAAATCCAAAGAGAGGGGGAATTCTGCGTCACTGACGCTTCACAGAAAATAACAACAGTGTGGCTGAAAGGGGAGGGAGCTAATTTGCTCTGAAAAGGGGGAATTACAGAGAAAGGGAATTATTGTCTTGAGCTGATCTCCCCCATCCCCACGTAAGTTAAAGCTACCCGCAGCAAGAAGCGTCTTATTACATCTGGCTCCCGCGCACAGGACGCTGCCGTCTCCCTCTCGGTTTCAATGCCGCTGCAAGATCCAGCCACGCAAACATCCTCCCGGAAATGTCCCCTGCTTGAGAATAAAGACGTCCGGTCCAGGCAGGGATGCAGCTCCAGGCACCACCGCCCGGGCTGCGCAACATCCAAGTCCTCACCTCCGGGGTCCATTCATCAGGGACACCGGGGAAGGAAGGCTGGCATGAGGTCCTTCTGGAAGAGGTGACCCGCGCCCCTCACCCACAGGCGCACGCCACGCGCGGACAGTGCGGGCCCTGGGAATCCACGCGCGCAAACGCCGGGGATACGCTCTGCAGCCACCAGAGGACGCAAAGCTCGAGGATCCTACTTCGACTAGCAATGCATTAATAGCCCCAAAGGGGAGGGTGGACACGGGATCCTTGGTCGCACCCGGGGCGGCCACCATCCCAGACCTCCGTAAAGAACAGCTACACATTCTTGCCTTCCGCTCACATACGCACAGGCGCGCGCACACACAGACCCGATAACCAGGAAACCGCTGGGACGCACAGAACGGAATTGGTTCACAGGACAACCCTTCACCGTGTTCGAAACCCTTTTTCGATTGTGTGGGTGGCTCTGAAAAGAGCCTTTGGGTTCCGGGGCGCCCGGCGCGCCTCACTTGGAGCTGGTGTACTTGGTGACCGCCTTGGTGCCCTCGGACACGGCGTGCTTGGCCAGCTCCCCGGGCAGCAGCAGGCGCACGGCCGTCTGCACCTCGCGGGACGTGATGGTCGAGCGCTTGTTGTAATGCGCCAGGCGAGACGCCTCGCTGGCGATGCGCTCGAAGATGTCGTTGACGAACGAGTTCATGATGCCCATGGCCTTGGACGAGATGCCCGTGTCGGGGTGCACCTGCTTCAGCACCTTGTACACGTAGATGGAGTAGCTCTCTTTGCGGCTGCGCTTGCGCTTCTTGCCGTCCTTCTTCTGCGCCTTGGTGACGGCCTTCTTGGAGCCCTTCTTCGGGGCCGGAGCCGACTTGGACGGATCAGGCATGATGGCAGATCTCCCCGAACAAAAGGAACAGACGTCCTGAGGAACTGTATTTATACGTCCCGTATGCAAATGAAGGATCCAGACGTCTTCGTTTCTGATAGGCTCAAATGCCGCGTAACGTCACTACTTGAAAAGGCGCATGCAAATTAGGGGATGGCGGCCTCCTTTTCTGATTGGTCGCCATCGCTACCCAATCGGACGAGGCCGGCTTGACTACCTCCGGACCATATATAAGGGCTCACTGAGGCCGGCGGAGTCGTTATTTCGCCCGTTCACTCTCGGCTTTCTGTTCTCCCGGAGCCCGACTTGGAAATGTCAGGCCGAGGCAAACAGGGCGGCAAGGCGCGCGCCAAGGCCAAGTCGCGCTCGTCGCGGGCCGGCCTCCAGTTCCCCGTGGGCCGCGTGCACCGCCTGCTCCGCAAGGGCAACTACTCGGAGCGGGTCGGCGCCGGCGCGCCCGTGTACCTGGCGGCCGTGCTGGAGTACCTGACGGCCGAGATCCTGGAGCTGGCGGGCAACGCGGCGCGCGACAACAAGAAGACGCGCATCATCCCGCGCCACCTGCAGCTGGCCATCCGCAACGACGAGGAGCTCAACAAGCTGCTGGGCCGCGTGACCATCGCGCAGGGCGGCGTCCTGCCCAACATCCAGGCCGTGCTGCTGCCCAAGAAGACCGAGAGCCACCACAAGGCCAAGGGCAAGTGAGGCTGCGGAGGCGGGCCGGCAGCGGCCGTGCGCCCCGGGGGCCCCGTGACACCAAAGGCTCTTTTCAGAGCCACCCACAGTCTCGAGAAAAGAGCCGCACTGAGCACGCAACCTTGCCTTGTTCTAGGGCTGCGTCCTCGCGGGCGCACGGGGAGCCGGGCCCGAGGCACCATCCGGGCGCGCCTACGCGCACGGTGGGCTCCCGCGTCCGTTTGCCGCAGGGAATGCCAGCGGACACGTGTCCGCCGTCTGCCTTTGAATCTCACTCCCAAGCCTCGGGCTCGGTCCGGCTCATCGTGAGGGTATCTGTTCCGGTGGCTGACCGCTGCGCAAAGTGTCATGCGGTCACGTTTAGATGCCAAGGACAGGCTGTTCCTTTTCCCGGGCCTGGATAACCGGGCGGATTCACCTGGTTTTGAAAATACGTACTGTGTAGAGAGAATCTGATTCTTGAGGTTCTCCTACGTAAACCTTACGATTTACATTTAAAAATGGAAGGGTGCTTGACTGAGCGGACGTTGCAAAGTTCTGGAAACAGGTCCATCAGAGTTATGAGCTAATCTGGAGATTAAGGTCTTGGAAAGGGTTTCTGCTCTAGAGGCGTTTGCAACATTTAAAAGAAAGTCGTTTTTAAGGGGAGGGTAAACTTTTAAAGAAAATCTTACTGTAAATAGAATGACTATTTAAGAGAATTTAAATTATTCAATCTGGGTTGGCCAAACATGAATCCGAGTCCCTTAACCTGATAGCTAAAATTAGAGACTAGAATAATTTGTCCATTGAGTTCAGTCAGGAAAACTAGGTTTGTGAATTTAGTAGGGATACAGCGAGCATTGTTAGGATCAGATTATGTAATATATGTGTGGCTATTTCAGAAGAGGACTGGTCATGAGCTGCACATTGTGTAATAAACGGGAGTTGGATAATCCCAGGGGTCCTGGCAAGGTGGTGAGAATGTACATAGCACCCACCTCATGGGGGAGGAGGGATTAAGTGGTTGATTCATAATCCTTTAAAACAATGTCTGGCACAGAGAAAGCCTGATAACTGTTGTTGTTCCTATTGTCAATATCTTTATTGTTTTCATTACTTTTTTATAGCAATAAAGACAGGCGGGTAAGACAATTCAGGATTATTATATAATTTGTATTTACTAAAATTAGGTCTACTCAAACCAGGGCTGCCTAGACACCATCTGGAGCTAACCACACATCTGCTGGTCTTAGGAAAATATCCTAGTGCTGTGAAAGGGATTCACACCAGGGATGTACGAGCCTGCTCTGTCCACGTGCATCTGAGCACAGGACCCCCTGCAGTGGAGGGACGCAGCAGAGCACGTGGCCGAGCGGGCCCCATTTCTGTGATGCAGGCTGCATGGACTGTCCAAGAGACAATAGAGCCTTCTGGAGATGGAGCTGGCCCTTCTGTTTCCAGTGACAGTCTCCAGTTCCAGCTGAAATTTGTGTTTATGCATTGATGTCAGTGTAGATCATTGTATGTCGTCAAACCCCTCAGTGGTATTTAAGAAATGTTTTTCAGGGGCAGGGGGGCATGGGTATGCCGAGTCTCTCCGTGGAGCTCCCGACTTTTCATTCCTGAAATGGGACGCTAAGAGGGAGGCAGCCCTAAGGTGGCTGAGCTGTCCCCTGTAGAGAGCAAGAAGCAACAAGGGCTGTTCGGTTTTCAGTGATACAAAACGAAACACACGGACGCAGTTTCTTAGCCGCCCCAGCCACACATCAGACAGCGGGGGAACAGACCAGCTCCATCATCGCCTCAAGTTCCATTGCGCGGCTCTGGTCTGACGTCTGATCGTCTGTCAGGGTTTCCTGGTTCAGGAATCTGAAAATCTTCAGAGCTGCCCACCTCTGCAAGAGAAAGCCCATCAGACCCTCGCTCCAGGAAGAAAGCCCCACGTGGCTCAGCAGGCCCACTCCCGATGACTCGGTGACTCGCACATTCCCAGCAGCACATCCCAAAGCTGGAAACGGCCCAAAGGTCCCTGCAGATGCACGCGCAAACTGCGCTCTGTGCGCACAGTGGAATGCAGACAGCCGCACCAGCGAGTGCGACCACGTGGCGGAACCTCGAAAACATGTCCGGGAAGCCAGACAACAAGGCCACGCAGGGTAGGATCCCATTTATAAGAAATGGCCAGATGAGAGAGATCCGTAGAGGCGGGAAGCAGATCAGTGCTTGCCAGGGGCTGGGGAAGGAGGGCCGATGGCGGAACAGACCACCAGCCTCTGCAGAGCCCGGAGCTTTGAGGCCAGTTCCCGGCTCCCTGCGGCAAGAGCCATGGGATTATCTCTGTCGTGCTCCCCACGTCCCTGTGGGGTGAGTAGTTTATTGAGAAAGGTGACCCAAGGAGGTACAAAGTCTCGCAGGAAGAATGCAGAAACATCCACACCCACTGCCAGGAAGGTGCTCCCAGCTTCCAGAATTCTCCGCTCACTTTGGCCAGGTCCCGTAACTCACCCTGCCCCTCTCCTGGGCATGGGTCTGTCTCCAGCCCCCGCCCCACATCTGGTCTCTCCTTGCTCTGTTCATTTCCAACATGTTCAAGAATCTCCCAAGGGGGGCGCCTGGGACGCTGGGTGGCTCAGTCGGTTAAGGGTCTGCTTTCGGCTCAGATCATGACCTCAGGGTCCTGGGATTGAGCCCCATGTGGCGGGGTTTCCTGCTCAGCAGGGAGTCTGCTTCTCCCTCTCCCCAATTCTGCCCCTCCCCCCTGCTCGTGATCTCGCTCTCTCTCTCAAATGGATAAATAAAAGCTTTAAAAAATGAAAAAATAAAATTTTTAAAAAAATTTTAAAAAAGAATCTTTCAAGTGAAAAAGCATAAAAGGACCCCCTCATTTTCTGTGTTTGCTTAGACCCTGAATTAGAGTGTCAGGGGACACGCCTTGAGGAGGACTCGGTCACCCAGTCTGAGAGCTGTGAGGTCTGGGCTGAGCGGAGCTGTTTGGCCTGCACACTGCTCTCTCGCATGGAGGTCCCAGACCTGGTCCTCAGAATCGACCTCACACTCCCAGGGGGGTCTGTTTCTACGCACTGCTCACCAAGCCTCACCGAGGCTTTGCTTTTCTCCCGCACCCACCCAGCAAAAGTTTTAAAATTGCATCGTCCCCTCTGCCCACGCCCCTCCACGTGGGTGGCTGGGTCCCAGGCATCTCTCTGGGGAGACCATGTCCTGGTGCTTCCGTCCTCCCCAGAGACCGTGGAGCTTGTGACCACCCCTCCTGCCAACCCTGCCCTCGGGCCTCCAGGATACCCTTCCTTACCCACTGCCCGTCCACGGCTTGCCCCAGCCCTGGGGAGGCCCTACTTGGGTGCCATCTTGCCAGTTTTCTCCAGCGGGATGATGGAGCGGCCCAAAATGTCCCAGCTGCTGGAGGGGCAGCGCGCCTCCTTCGCATGGCTGGGTGCCTGGTGTCTTCTTATATATAGTCTCGCTCCAAGGATAGTTCAGCTTCCTGACACTGTCCCCCGAGGACGAGTCCCCAGGACCCTTGAGGTCGCGCCTGCACCCTGCGTCGAAGGCACACCCCCATGGCCGCCCCTCCTCAGTGTCCCCCCAGCCAGGTATGCCCACCTGGAGACTGTCAGCACATGTGGAAAGTCGGGAGGCAGATGCTGTCCATGGAGACACCCTAGTCCTGGATCCCACCTGTAGTGCTCTCCCCCCAAAAATAGGACCCCATTCTAACGGCCAGAACTTGTGACTGTGATCGTATTTGGGGACAGGGTCTTTCCAGGTATAATTTAAAGATCTTGAGATGAGGAGGTCATCCTGGATCAGGCAGGAGACCCGAACATGCCAAGAACTCACAACACTCCACAGTGAAGAAGCACTCTTGGCTTTTGGCAGGCCAGGCCTCCCTTTTGCCTTTCATCCACTCAGTGCACCCTCATTCCCTCCGCCTGGCTGCAGCCTCCTGGAAGGAGCACTTGTTCTATTGCCTTAGAATATTCCATTCTGCTGGAGAAGACAAGAAAAAAGGGGGGGCAGGTGGGGTGGGGGTAGGAGAATGGATGAATGTCCTAAGATGGGAGCATAGATAAAAGCGAGGCGAGAGAGTGGGGCTTAAAGATACAAGAGAACCAAGACACAGGGTAGTTAAATGTGAGGCTTCTGGGCACTAAGTATTCGTGAGTGTTAAGTATACAGGAGGAGCTAAATATTCAGGATTATTAAGTATGCAGTAGACACTAAGCAATCACCTTTGAGGCACTGAGTTTCCGTTAGGTCTTAGTCAGCCAGCTCTGGGACTCTCCACAGGTGAGCCGTCCCGGAGTGGCAGGGACCCCACACCTGTGTGCATGAGCCCAGCATCCCC